ATAGATAGATAGATAGATAGATAGATAGATAGATAGATAGATAGATAGATAGTTGGATGTATGGATGGATGAATGGATGGGTGGATGGATGGATAGATGGGTATATAAAGAAAGATTAAAACTCAGTCTCAGGAGCCTACTAACCTGGGCTCAAAGTTCAACCAAGGCAATTGTGTGTGTGTGTGTGTGTGTGTGTGTGTGTGTATGTGTGTGTGCGCGTGTGTGCACGCGCGCGCACCAGTTTTCTCGTGTGCAAAATGGGGTCATAGGTGTACTTAATTTAGGTTCAATGTTCATTAGTACTTTCAAAGTAGTTCTGACTACCATTGAGCAAGTTCTGGGTAAATATGAATGGTTCCTGAGGGTTCTTCCTACTGGAATTCACTCAGAAGAGAATACTTCCCTTAGATCTAACTCTGTGGGATGGCCAACCAAATACTGTCATCAAAATAATTCCCCATTTTATGGAGAGCCTTACACTCTTCGGAGAGACTGTGTGCTTTGTGGAGAGATTTCCACTCTTCAGAGGGACTCCTCTGAGTCTTCCCTGTGGGAGTCAGGCCAGGATAATTCCTCATGACGTCAGAGGAGAAGACTGTAGGTGAACTGTGGACACATGAGTGAGACATGCCCTGTCTCTTCTTGGCAGCCTCTGAGGGATGGTTTTCTGACTTCTTTCTTTCCGGGCCACCCTGTCCCTTTTTGACACCTGAACACAAATGTCCATTGACACATTGGCTTCTCACTACCGCCAAGTCCAAAGCACACCAAGTCTCAGCTGTCCAAATATTTTTCAGGCCCTGGCTATTACTTGAATGGGAATTTTGTTCAGATTTGTCCCAAGGGAGACCAGAGTGGCATTGATGGACAAACTTTAGGGACAAAATTAAGAACCTGGGGTTACAAAAGCCATGATGTGTTCAGCATTGTAGCCCTCATGCCGGAGGAAATTTTAAATACTTAAAATAAAATAGCATTGTAAGAACTTTGGGGGAAAACAGAGAAGCGACCAGTTATCTTTTTAGAAAGGAAAGTAGTGCAGTGCTGATTTTCACCAGCAGGTGGCACTGGAGTAATAAGGGTAGAGTAACAATATTTAAAGATCATTATGAAGGTCTTGGTGGTGGCAACAACACCACCCAACCTAGCTAAAGCTCGGAGAGGGTGCTTCTGACTCACTCAGAACCAGTGAAGCCCGCCCCTCAAAGACTTACACAGAAGTTTAGCCTTTTTTAAAAAAATCCCTGGCCTTGTTACATGAAGAAAAGTTCCAACCTCAGCAGAAGAGACAGTCTTTAGAGGACAAAAACTGCTCGTGCCCTGAAGGCCTCTGGGAAGGGCATGAGCCTGGGGGGGGGGGGCAGATAGAGAAATAAGCCATTTTTGTGTTGTGAGGCTTCTCAACATGCTTGCACTACACTGCCTCTGAGCCCCTCCTGACCATACAGATTTCCCAAATACAAACAGAGAGTATTGGATAAGAATCCCCCCTCTCCACCATCCTTTCCACTTCACAGCATGTCCATGCACTAGAACCCAAGCGCCATGTTTCTTTGCTCTGACTGAGACATGAAAGGAGAGGAAACTCAGAAACTGGTGGAGGAGGCCAGTTTGGAAAAAAGCTGGTGGAACGGGTGTAATTAAATGGTATTGGGTGCATATTGAATGGTTAATAAGTATGGGTGAATCAGGGGGTGGAAAGATAGATAGATGACTGGAAAGGTGGGGGGGGGAGCTAACTCAAAATACTTCAGAAGCCTAACAAGGAAAGCAAGTCCACGTTCTCAGTTTATCTAGAAGTATCGAAGTACCAACCAGCCACTGACACAGCAGGGACTATGTAGAAGTATGTTGGGGTGTTTTTGACTGGAGAAGCTTTTCAGGAGTCAGGGGATTCCTTTTAGTCCTGTGTCTCTTGGTGCAGAGGGAATGAAGCACACGTCTTTGGTTTTAAGAGCTCTGGGTAGAAGAAACATCACAAGGATTTCATACTGCTTCCTCCAAACTCCGGATCCCGTCCGTCTTCCACCGCTGGACTCTCTGCCTGGGAGACTGGGAAGCAACATCCTAGCACGTCCCTTGAGATCGTATCCTGAATTGGTTTTACTAAGCTTATTTGTTTTTCTGAAAATTCAGGGGAGACAGACCTGTGGAAGCCTGGACCAGTCCTTTTAGATTCAGGTAAGTATCCATTTGGCCTCTTGAGTCCGTCCAGACGGAGATGCCCAGCCCTGGAGAATGAGGGTGACCTAACAGTCCAGCTGGTGGCTCAGGTGGCCCGGCTGTTTAAAAGCTTCCTCCTGGGACCTTCGGGTCCTGGTTTGGGCCCATTCAGACTTTCCGAGGGATGTGCGGGGCCATACTGGTTCCTCAGAGGGGAGAGAGGAAACATGAAGGCAAAGGCTGGTGGAAATGAGTTCCCAGTGAGATGGGTTTATACCCTCATTTCTTCTGGCACCACGCACAGTCGTTCCCTAATTCAGTCCCCTTTGAAAGTGGTATTCAGGAGGGCTGCCCGGTGGTGGTGCACACCTTCAGTCCCAGTGCTCAGGAGGCTGAGGCAGGTGGATCTCTTGTGAGTTTGAGGCCAGGATGGCCTACATAGTGATTTCCAAACCAGCCATGGCTCCATAGTGGGACCTTGTTTATAAAACAAACAAACAAACAAACAAGAAAGTTAGAAGAAGATGGTCTGAGGTTTTTCATTCTCATCAGTGTGTGTGTGTGTGTGTGTGTGTGTGTGTGTGTGTGTGTGTGTGTGTGTGTGATGCACTGTTTACCACATTCAATGTCTGACCCTCTAACAAAGCATTCCTGTTCTTGGGAGGAAGTAAGATTTTTCTGGCAAGGGGAGACAGGGATAGGAAGGTCAAACCTCTGAGCTTGCTCCCCCCTCCACCCCCCACACAATGTAGAGCTTTGAGATGTGTCCCTGGGAGGCTTCTGGCTGAGAAACACTGTTGAGCACCCGAAACGAACTTTCCAATGGTGTGAGGAAGTGGGGCAAGCTGGCTGACCTTTCGGGGGAAGATGAAGTCATGTGCTTTGCAAACTGAAAAGAAAAAAAAAAGAGGAGGAGGACGCTCACTACAGCAACAAGAGCAAGGAGGACAGAACCTCACACCTGCCTCCACTGCCAGAAATTTCCAGAACTGCCAGGCATCCTGAAAGCAGGGAGGCGTGCTTCCTGCATGTATTCACTGCCTCTGAGCATCCCAGTGGTCGCAGCCGTCCCAACAGAATGCGCACTGACTGTGTCTGTGGCTTTTTGTCACGCCCTGCATCCATAGCCCTCACCAGACACCCCACCCCTGCCCAGCTGAAGCCCCACATCCACACGGCCTTTCCAAGCATCCTGTACCTCTGGCCCTAGACTTAGAGTGCTGGGGGCGAGACCCTGTCTGCTCCGCTCTTCTGTTTGAGCTGTGCTCCACTCAGGCACACACACAACCTTTTCTAGACAGCCCTGCGCGTGTCTAACTCATCTTTGCTCAGTGCCTATATCACCAAAATTTGGCCAAGGACCTTTGTGTGCTGAGCGTAGTAGGGGTCTGAACGAGTCAGACTCATTTCCTGACCTCCGTGGTTTCAGAATTTTAGAGATAATAATTTTACCCCGGCGTGCCTGTAATGTTTTCGCATAAATAAACCAGGACCTAGATAGAACAAGTTCAAACGAGAGCAGATCGAGGTCCTCCGAGCATCCAACAGAGTACTCATGGCAGGCTGTGGGGACTTACTTTTCTCAGGATGGGGCCAGGAGGGAAAAGAGGTAGCTGTGAGCCAAACCGGGTATGAATGTCCACTCTGTCCCCTTCTCTGGGGTAAGGCCAGGTGTTCCTATACTTGAAAGTCATAACAACTTTAACTTCTCTTTCCAGGATCTGTGCCCAAGGAAGAACTCAGCACACAGTCTTCGGAGCCAGTGCCCCAGGGAGATCCAAGTGAGTTCTCTGGCAGCTAGCAAGCCGGGATGGTTTTAGCATCTGATTAGCGCTCTCTCCCCTACCTACTCCCTGCCTTTCCGACCGACTTCTCTCCTACCACAGATCTACTTATCCCCTACCTTCTGTCGCTGTTCTAAAGAGAATGGAAAGCTTCTGAGGGATTTAAAGTATCTGCATGAGGGGGAAGAGGATTGAGACCTTTTTAATGTCACTATGGCAACAGGGTGAAGAATGGGAAGGGGTAGGGAGGAACGAGGCGGATGAAAAGAATTGCCAGGCTGGTCAGCAGGGGTAGGGGTACCGCGGAGGTAATGGAAGCTAGACCTTGGAGCTAGAACCAGAAATGAGAGAAATAGGCAGATACAAGAAATACAGAAAAGGAAGAATCTATAGGATTGGAGTGGGGTAAGACAGTTAGAAATGGCATCCGCAGGACTCAAGGGCTGGAGTGGGGTAAGACAGTTAGAAACGGCATCCACGGGCAACTTAGCTGGTAAAGGCACCTTCTGCTAAGCCTAAAGACCTGGGCTCTAGCCACGGTGGAAAGAAAAAGGTAACTCCCAACAGTTATTTGTGTGTTCTCCTCCCCCTGTCCCCCCACACCAAGTAAACACATAGATGTCATTTAAATTTTAAAAAATGACTTGTGCAGCTGGATAGATGGTACTGTGTTGAAGAATGCAGGATGAAGCAGGCTTGGGGACGGGAGACTGTCTATGTCTGTCGTTTGCTATGAGAGATTCAGTCCAATAGCAAGATCTGAGGCTTGGGTGGGAGGGGACAGCCCAGTCAGAGATTCAGAGTTGGAGACAAGGTGACAGCCCGTGTCATTCTTCATCACATTGAAAAGAGAAGGAATGTTAAGTGGATGTTAAAATGCTTCAGAATTTTTTTTAAAAAAAGTTCAGAGTTGGGAGATTAACTGTGGCTCAAAGCACAGACTACACTGTGGGGCAATAAATGTGATGTAGATGAACTAAAGAGGACCCAGATATGATGAGCAACACTAGGCAGGGGAGAAGACACCCAGGAATACCACAACGGAGGGGCTAGGGAAAGAAGGAACACAGGGAGGGTCCCATCTTCCAACACAGCAAAAGAAAGCACTTGAGAATCCCCTTAGACGGTTGCCACAGCGTCTGTCCCAACTCTGCTGTAAGAAATGCCCGTGGTGTGTTTCAGACTAACGATGCCCATCTCTTGCTCACTACCTATGGCATCAGTCTCTCACTAGATTTCGCTACTCCAGTATGGTCAGAGGACCAACAGCATCAGCAAGTTGCCCTGGGAACTTGGAACAAATGTAGAGGCAGAGCCCGCACCCCAAACCTACTGAGTCCAGAGCCAAAGCTACCAGTGGCCCTTCAGAGTGGCTCACAGATAATTTTGTGGGAACCTGCATAAGCGCCTGTGACCTATGCATGGCTCTGATATTATCCAAAGTTACAAAATATGGACCTTATGCATTGCATAGCACAAAACATGAGTTCATCTATAGAATTGCACCACGCGGAACTGTAGTGCAGAATTAAGAGAAATTGATTCCCGTTGATACTACATCTGACCTTCCTCCCTCACCCTGAACCTTTCCTGTGCCCATAGATAAGACACTAATGCTGAGCTCCTCATGGAACGACTCGACCCGTTAGTCCTGACGTCATCTTCACATCAGCATGCTATCGTTTCCATAGAAAAAGCCGGCTGGGTCTTATCCTGTATGTACGTTGAGGTAGAAGAGTAGTCATTAAGATATCCTGTGAGTTTGGAGGCAGGGGCTTTTGCTTCAGTAGTAGAGTGATTGCCTAGAATGTACAGTAAGGCCTTGTGTTTAGTCCCAGAGAGGATTAAATAATTTAAAAAAAAAAAATCCTGGGAGACCTATCATACATCTCTGCATCAGCCGTCAGCAATCAGGCCAGAGGTCCAAGAGAACTAAGCGGGCAAATTGCTTGCTGTAAAAATGAACACGTTGTTCCTGAACATAGTTCAAGATGTGAGAAATGAGTAAGAACTGTCCTTGAGGAACCAAAACAGATGCTACCAAATCCGTGTACTGCTTTCATTGAAAATAAGTGAACCGGGGAAACCCCGCTATTCCTTCCTAGAACTGGTTTTCCTCTATCTTAAAAGGCGATATTGAGCTAATCTGCTGGTGTCTTGAAGGAAAACCTTTGTTCTGGAGTGCTTCTCAAACTCGAGGGTCCTCCTTAAAGGCAAAACGGATTTTGTACCTCTGAGTGGATCCCAGGAGTCCATCCATGTTTCCTGAAAACTGTGTTAGTGGGCCGAAAGCCCTGAAGAACATTACTGCCACCTACTGGCAATAATTCACATTGCAAGGCAAGACCTAGAAAAACACCCATTGGCCATTTGGGAGAGACATTAGAGCAATTCTGCCTGTCTTCTCTTTTTCTCTTCTGTTTTTCCCCTGTCTTTAGCAAAGTCTTTAAAACACATTTGGTTGGACTGCTCTGTTTCCTTCCATCTTTATCTCAGGGTTTCGCTTGGAATATAGGCAACTTGGGAGAAAGCCAGCTGGATAGGGAATACTAGAAGGCACTTGGGCAAAAGGCTGTGAGATTTGCTACACAAATAGATGGAGTAGAGGGAGACAAGCATCCCTCTGGTCGCCTCAAGACCTCCTCTGATTTCAGCAGCTACTTCAGCGCGTTCTCCGATTCAACTTTTCTCCATCCACGAATTCTGCATCTTCACTCATCAGTAATTATTTTTATCCAGTGTTGCCTCCAACTTGGTTAGCTCACAAGTACTTGGTATTTTCAAGTCTCTTCTTGTCTATGGCGCCTTTGTTAGTGGAGGGCAAGCAACGCCAGCCCCAAAGAAACCATGTGTCCGTGATAGAGAACACGGCGGCCATTAGGAACATGCAGGCTTGTCTGCGCAGTTTCTCCCCCAACCACAAGGGGGTGCTGGCCCTCAGGTGTTCTCCGGTGTTCCAGATCAAAATTCTTTATTCTTCAGGTTCTCTGTAAAAGTGTTTTCTCAAAAATACTCTTGTCTCCCCAAATGCAATCATTCAATAATTTAATCCTCATTTTTTATTAGTCTTAAGGCTATATGGACTCCCAATAAGGTCCTCAGCTCAGCAATGAACCGTTCGTTTTATCATACTGAGTCAGCACCACAGCAGAGGGTAACAAATACTGGTTTGTTAGCCCGATTAGCACTGAAAGCTGAAACCAGCCTACAGACCCACCATCCCTGCCACCTTTCCCACAACTATCTTAAACAGCACATCTTCCTTTTCCGCAGTTTCGATTACCTGTCGTCAGCCGCGATCTGAAGATAGTAAATGGAAAGTTCCAGAAATAACCTTAAATTTTGAATCTAGTATATTGTTGTAATTATTCTGCTTTGTTATTAGTTATTATTAGTTTCTTGGTCTATGTAACTATGAATTAAACTATATATATGGTTTACATATGAATGTATATGGTTTGATGCATATTATATATTCATAATATATTATATATAGTTTAATTCATAAATTATAAGTTTATATAAACTATTTATAATTTAATTTATGACAGTGAATATTTATCACATAAATACCTCCAATATATATGTATCGTTCATATATATATATATATGGAAACAAAATGTATATATGGTTTTATTGTGCCTGGGGATTCAGGCAAATTCTGTGTTTCTTAGACTCCAACCCCAGGGGACAAGGGAACACTGGTTTATTCGAGGAGGTCAAACATTCTATCCCTGAACATCTACCCTACTCTTTCACAACAGAAACAGGGAGGGATTCGACAAAGTTTTAAAACTGTCTTACAAATGTATGTGGATAATTTCTTCCACTGTTTCTTCTAAGGAAGTGAGAAACATTCTATCTATTTCTAATTCTATAAATCCTGTCCCCACCCCTTCCATTCTGGCCTTGTGGGTTCTTTCACACCCCACATATTTTGACAAAGGGTAAGAATAAAAGACCACAAGCTATTGACACTTGGTTATGGCAAATTCTCACACCTACGAGTCTGTACTTCCTTGCTTGTGTGGGCATGTGTGTGAGGGATGGGGGATTAAGCATACATGTATGTGTAGGCACCCATGTGCATGATTCCATGTACCTGTTCTGTTGTTCTTCATCTGGTTCCCTTAGACGGGCAGATAGGGTCTCTCACTGAGCCTAGGGATTGCTGTTTTGCCTAGAACGGCTGCCTGGTAGGCTCCAGCATCCTCCTGGCTCTATCCCAGCATCCTCCTGGCTCTATCCCAGCATCCTCCTGGCTCTATCCCACGCAGCACAGGCCTATACACAGCCACATCCAACTTTTGATTTGAATGCTGGGGATCCCAATTCATGCTCAGCAACACCCTTACCCACTGAGCCTTTCCCATGGCTTCTAGGCATTTACACTTCTGTGTTCTGAGCCCGGGAGTCCATCTTGAGGTTCTTCCCAAGTAACGTTGGGTGTCACTGTCTTCTGAAGTCTACATTGGTGACTGAGCCGTAGAATTTTAAAGCAGGTGTAGAAATAAGAACAAGCCCAGGGATCCAGGACCCTGGTCCTCGGGGAAATGGAGTTTGCACCTCTTCTACCTCTTTTCACTTTCTTCTCAGTGGGTTCTCTGGGCTTGTAGTGAACGAAAGCCACAAGATGCCTGGAAGGGAGCCCTGCAAGCCTTAGGCGAGAACACAGAGAGAAGATGCCTAGGTAGAAGTCCTCAGACCCAAACAGAATCACAGCATCTTTTTCCATCCCGCAGACTGCAAAGTTGACTTGTCATTCTTAATCGATGGGAGCACCAACCTCGGCAAGCGCCGCTTCCAGATCCAGAAGCAGTTCTTAGCGGACGTTGTCCAGGCTCTTGACGTTGGCCCTGCTGGTCCTCTCGTGGGTGTTGTTCAGTACGGGTAAGTGCAGCTAACGTTCTGAGCCCGGCTCGCCGGTGGCACTGCACAGCTAACTTCAACCAATATCAATGCGTCCTGAAGCTCTGACTCATTCTCTTCTCTAATGCAAATGTAATTAAAAGGCCAACAACTGAAGCGATCCATCCGCCACTGAAGAAATATGAGCCTTCCCAAAGGGAAGAAAAGGCTAATAGCACATGCTTGGGAGTAAATGCCATTTGCACTCATGGTTGACGTAGAGAGTATTATCTGTAGGAATCAAGAGTGTCGGGTGCAAGTAACAAAGAACCTAGCTAGGCTACCGCCAGCTTCTCTATCTCTAGACAAAGAAAGCTAAGGCCCCTTTTAGCCTTGACTGTGAAAACATTTGTGTGAGGGGCTGCGACCTTGGCTACACTTACTGAAGGTAAGGCGTCAGGTGCCACGGAGCTTCAGGTTGTGTGTTCTCTTTCCTCCAAACAACCATGGGCAGCTACACTGTCCACTGGGTGACAGAGACTTCCATAGTAGAGAGACTGGTGGAGCGTTCAAGACTCCACCAGTCTTGAACGCTGAGACTACCGGCCCCGATTCACCTAATTATTTCATTAAGGGTAAGATTTAAGGGGCCATAGCAACATTCCAAACTCAACCTTCTTCTCTCTGAATTTGGAATAATAACTCAATCTTAGTTTAGATATGGATGGGGTCCTCCCTACAACAGATTACAGATATATGGCTGACCATCATCGAAAGAAAAAGCAAGCATAAATTTTCCTACTTGTAAGTGCATTTCACACAGGTGGTCTGATCGATAGCCATGAGGGGCAAGGTCACGATTGTGCTATCACAAAGGGGCTTCGCATATCCATGAGGCATTTCTTCCATACATACCTACGGTCTAGTCCTCGGAACTGAAAAGAAACACAGAGTTCAGCTCTATTGCTTCAAAGCTCTGCTGACTGTGTGGCCATTCCTTCTGAAAAATACAAGCATTCCAACGTTCCAGTACCTCCATACGTTCCCTAGCTGGCAAGCAGCCCGGGGGTGACCCGGGGCAGCACATTAGTTACCGACGTCATATGGAGGCATTAGCAGGTTCTTCTTTGAGTTACTAGGAAAATAAGTGAAAATGCTTTCTTTTCCAAATAACTTATAACAAGTACATCTTTAGAACCCAAGTCTAATACATGTATTCCCATCTTCTGTCAGGAAGAAGTTAGGAGCTTGGCTAACTGGCACCTGCAAATAGTTAGGAGTCAGTCAGAGATAACCAGTTGCTACTAATGTCCTGTCACCTTGTGAGGTTTTTGAAAAAAAAAAAAACAACAGAAAAACAAAAAAAGGGGCTTTTTGGTTATTGTTTTCTTGTTCTCAAAGCGTCACCCCATTTTCTCTCCTATGGTACTTTTGAAGACAGAAAGCACAGGGCAAACCTTCCTATGAAGAGCCAATACCAGTATTTAGTGCCAGCTGGTCTAGTCAGTTTTACCGGAGGATTCAAAGCTTGCTGTGTTGTCTTGCGCCAACAACAGCTGGGTAAGAAGCTGGTCACAGCCGGGTTTCCGGTGTGATATGAATAGGTCAAGGGAAAAAGAAGAATGGCCCCAGATGTTGGGTGTTGATCAGAATGAGAATTAAATAATAAATACATCAGGGAAGCAAAATCCATAGCAGTTCCTTCCACCCTGCTGAGGCGCAAATGTGGTCCCAGGTTTTATGAGTTGGCAGCTTCACTCTCAGAGCAATAGTGGTGCGAGGTGGGGAGAGCCAGGGTGCTTAGCGGTGGACTCGCGTCATAATCAAGGGATCACGTTAATTATCAAGAAGGTGGCTTTGTTATGAAAATGCTTCTGGCGCTAGCGGTCGGCCGCGTCTGTGCGTGGGCTGGGCACTGCCCGTCGCGGAGCCTCACGCCGTGCCGGCTCGGGCCGGAGGCTCAGGCCACCTTCTTGAAATCATGACTCCTGTTTATAGCCCTGGGTCTTCTGGGGTTCCCTATGCAAATGCCAAAGGAATTGGACATCCAGCTGGTGTTCCTGTGGGCTACGCAGCAGCTCCTGCCTATTCTCCTAGCATGTACCCGGAGCAAATCCTACCTTCCAAACAGGCTACACTCCTGGTACACCTTACAAAGTGTCCTGTTCCCCAACCAGCGGCGCTGTGCCACCATACTCCTCCTCCCCCAACCCCGACCAGACGGCTGTGTACCCAGTGCGAAGTGCCTACCCCCAGCAGAGCCCGGATGCCCAGTTGTCTCTGTTTTCCCCGCAGCAAGGCACGTACTATACACAGCCTCTGTATGCAGCACCCCCTTACGTCATTCACCACACCACGGTGGTGCAGCCCAATGGCATGCCAGCAACTGTCTGCCCTGCTCCCATCCCTCCTCCTAGAGGCAGCGGGGTCACCATGGGCATGGTTGCTGGGACCACAATGGCCATGTCCGCAGGTACCCTGTTGACTGCTCATTCTCCAACTCCTGTCGCCCCTCACCCAGTCACTGTCCCCACATATCGAGCCCCAGGAACACCCACCTACAGCTATGTGCCCCCTCAGTGGTGATTACCCTGCGAATTAATATTTGAGGACGGAGCTGTGCAGTCACTTCATTGGGTTCCACAGCTGGTGCTGCAGGCCTTGTGCCTCCAACCAGGACTTTCTTCTTAATGCTCTCGACACTTAGCTAAACACGACTGCGTCCCACCCAGCCCAGCAGGTCCCAGCTCGCTAGTCTCCAACTAACTCTGGGTTGGTTTTAAAGCAAATCCTGTTTTGTGGACTGCCTGGCAAATTTTTTAGCTACCTGTAATGACAAAAAGGGAGTATTGCTCTATCCTGAATCATATCTAGTTGAATGCATGTTGATAAAAACAAACACAAAAGCTTGCTCAATCTACCTGCAGTGGCTGATGCAAAACCATCACATGCAGAATCCAAAGGACTGGGCTGTGTTCTACAGCCTGTTCCACTCATGCACTGTTGTCAGGTATGCGGAGTCTCCAAGTTACACGTGTGCAAGTGAATGTCCTCAAGAAGCATCTAGAGTACTGGAGGGGATTCTTGGGGTAATGAGGGTTGCCAGGTAGGGACACAGACTTGTGGTTTTCAGCAACCTGTGTTTTGGGCACTGACGAACCTGGAGGGAGCTGAGGGGACTGGGAGAGAGTGAGTCTGGAGACTCCAGAGCAGCAGCAGGTATAGTAGGGTCCTCTCCTTCATTTCAGCTGAAGTGTGGTCTGAGAAGCAGGGATGTACTGAAGCCTACCAGGAAATATGAGAGCTGGGAGCCAGTAGAGCTGGGATGGAGAGTGGTCTGTGTCAGTAGAGCAGTGTCTCTGCCATCTGAATTTCCATTGTGCATCTTACAGGATATGTTCTGGGTATCTGTTGGGACTGTGGGGAAAGTCCAGTGTAGAACTAAACTGTCTTCCCAGGAAGGAGGATGTCAAAGAGGAGCGGCCACACTGAGGTGGTATTGTCTTTTTGCTTTATTTCGCTAAGGGAATCAGCCCTTTCTTTCCCCCTGAGAAATAATTGAGTCTGCTAAAAACACACAGGCACAGCTGTATTCACCCACAAAGAAGGGCAGAGATGTCGGTTGTGTTCTGTGGGGAATGGTGTAGATTTAAGACTGGTTAAAAGGGAATAAGTTTATTTTAAGTTAGTTCCCATGTTTCTTGTAGAGAAGCCGGGCTGAGATTATGTCTAAAAATGTAGAAGTAATGTAGCTTGTCCCGGGGTCATTTGCCCCCAGGATGATGACCTGTCCCTTTGTGTCTAGCTGGGGTGAGGCCTAGAAAGTCTGTATAAATGTCCTGTGAGCCTATTTTGCCACCTTTTTCTGACAGCACTCAGCACCAAGCAGATGTGGAGAGTGGAAAGGGCAGACAGTTTTGGACTATACTTGCCTGTCCAGATGTGTTGTGGGAAAGATTTTGAGTGTGTAATCTGAGTATGTACATAAGATATCAAGGTTCTTTTTGCCTGTATATGCCCAGCTTGAATCTGTGAGAATGTTTCTGTTCGGTGTGGGTCAGAAGGGCAGGACCTTTCTGGGGTCCATCAAGTGGGGATGTGTTTTGTTTTGTTCCCCCATTGAAGTGCTTGGGTTTTGGTTGGAAGGGGTGCTTGTCTCTGACATCAAGGTCAGGGCTTCCAAGTTGGTGTGAAGGTCGCCTCGTTAGAAATCAGCTTGACTAGAGGGTGGGTCATCTGAACACTGAGCCTTTGGAAACCTTATTTTTATAGTCGAGCTCTTCATAATTTGTTCCTACCGTTTTATTTTATAAGAAATTGTGGGAAATTTCTGCATGGGTCAGTGTAAACACAAGAGTTCTCATTCCTAATATCCATGAACATAGAATGTTTATGGATGAGTATGTTTAATTGCCTCATGAGCACTTAACCGTGTGTGGTGTGTGTGTGTGTGTATGTGTGTGTGTGCGTGTGTAGAATAAGAATGCACACAGTGCACAGAGATAGAAACATTTGCTGTAGGCACACAGCTTGTATCTGTACTTCATGTTGGGATTCCCATCTGTGCGGTGGATGGTTTGCAGTGTTGCTGGTTCCAAGGTTTCCCCTGGACCCAATACAGAGAAGGTGGTTTTCCCAAGTGAATGATCATAGATCAATGGAACAAATGTACCTGTGATTTTCGCGTGTGTTTTAAAAGGCTTCCTCACCCACCCCAACTAAACATACCTGTCTCTCTGCCTGTGAAGGGTAGGGCTGTTTGCCTACGGTAGGAAGTTAGCAAGTCCATGGGTCTGCTCGCAGCTGCACAAAGTGTGTGTTTCCATAGGCCCCGAGTTCTCAGGAGAAAGAATAGTGGGATGCCATCCCCTCCTGCTGATCCCTCAGCTTCACACACTTGCCCTGTAACTGGTTACATACCATTCCTTTTTTTTTTTTTCCAAATTGAATTGAGTGGCTGTCAGACACTTGTGTGTTATCCAGTCCATCTGTGTGGAAGCCTTTCCTGTTGTGAACCCATCAGGCCATCGCCTGTGGAATCTGCTGGGGACAGATCTGTCAGGTGAGAATCTGGGCGTCCGGATGGTAACAGACTGTCAGTCTCAGTAAAATTTAGGGCTAGAACTCGCTGCATAGGTATCCCCGAAACATTGAGGAGCATTCCAAGAAAGTGTGCTTTTTATGTGTGTAACAGTCCCTACTAGAGTCCTTCAGCTGAATTCTTTTAGAAAGGCAGGCAGGCAGGCAGGCAGGCAAAGGGCCTGATTCTGTGAACATGGACGTCATTGCTCGGGTTTTGTTTTTTAATTTTTAAAGTTTACTCTCTGCTGCTTCCCCTGAGGCTAGGGAGCTTTTCTTCCTCTACTGCTGCTATTTGTAGTTTAAAGTTCAGTAGCGCTGTTGGGTTTTAAAGAATGCAAGCTCCCTGCGAAGTCAGGCCACCATCAGGATTGGGCTAATGAGGTTCCAGGCATGGAAGAAGTGCTCTTCCAGAACTTTTGTCTCCTGTCTTTTGGTCTTCCTTGGAAGAACCATTGAGTGGCTGTTAGCATTCTGGGTAGCAGCTTTTGAGTGTTTTGTGGAGGCGGTGTTCCCAAGGGGGGGGGGGTTATGAATGTTTCTTTGGGGATATGCTATAGTGAGGGGAATCGCATTGGGGAACTTTGAGCTCACCGGCTTCCGACTTGGGCCTTTGTGAGTGAGTGCGCCTGTGGTTGAGAGAGGCTGGCAGGCATAAACCTTAAACACTGGCACTGCTTCAGATTTCCTCAGCTCTCCTTTCTGAATATTGGAGTACAGTATTACTGTGGGACCACCTCTCATTCGGCAGCTGACATCTGTAGTTGTGCACCTGGCACTGCTGGATGGCACAGGACCTCCTAGGGTGCAGTGGCAGGTACAGCTGCTGGTCCTTTTCTCTGGTGCCTTCTGAAGGTTGCTGGAGGGCAGGAGGGCAGCTGGCTGAACAGGGAGTGTGGAGCTTACTCTCATGTCTAGCGCACCTCCCGGGTTTGCATAGTTCTTGAATTACTTCTCCTGCCCAGTCTTCGATGTGTGATGGACTGATTCCCAGAAAGGATAATATGGTTTCGTAGGAACAGTTAGAATTATTCCCCGTGTCTTAGAGGATTCCTTTCCCCCTACCCCTCTTACATCTGAAGAACAGAAACCTGTGGAATAAATCTTACTAGAACTATGGGATGGGAGGCAGCAGCTTTTTGGTCTAGGGACTGCCATAGTTGTACATGAGATGCGAGGACCTGATTGGCATAGCAGGCAGCTCCCAGGGAAGGGCTGTGGGTGGGTCTGGTGCAGACTGTGGGCAGTATAATAGGCCAGTTAGGTCACACTGGGGACTGGCTCCCAGCAGGGTTATTGTGGCAGCTGGAGGCCCCAAGGAGCCTGATAGGCTGCGACTGAACAGAGAAGGTTCTTCTTTTTTTAAACTTTTATTTTTAAATACTCTTTTTTACACTGTTTTTTCTTGGTACTTTTTTTATGCTTAAGTCAGCATTGTCTTCCGGTGTTAAAGGCATCCCTTGCCTCTTCATTGAACTTATGTGTCAATACAATAGGAATGGGCAGACTGTCCATCCCGAGCCAGTTCAACTAAATGTAAATTCATACTGTTTTAATTTTTTATGCAATCTGATGAGTAGATGAGCTCAGATTTAAAATCCTTAAAAGCACGTTTATTGTAACAGGAATTGTTATGTATTAATACTGCAGTTTTCAATAAAGATTGACTTGTGTTGCAAAAAAAAAAAGAAAAGAAAAGAAAATGCTTCTGGCCCTCCTTGCACTTGCTCCTGCCTCCCACCATCTGCTATGGGAAGGCAGAGCACTAAACCCTCCCCAGAAATGAGGTCTTAACCACCAGAAATACAAGAAATGAAATTATTTTCCTAATAAAACACCCAGTCTGCAGTTTTATGATATAGTAACACAAAACAAAGAAACACAACCCCTCCTCCAACGTTCTCCTGTCTTTCCCGAACATGATCATCATTTGGAAGAAAGCATTTACATTCTTGCTTTCCAATTTCACTCTCTAAACACTGCCCGGTGCCTGCCTTTTCTCCGTCCAGGGTGCTTATTATTTAATTTGAAGCATTTAGGGCAAATGTGTGTCTATCTTTCCATTTTAATGCCCATATAAACTAATCTGTCATCTTCGCCTTGCCCATGGCAGGGTGTGGAGGAGAGCATGGTGAACTGGCTGACAGGGGATCTGAATTCTGACCTCAGCCTCGCTGGGGGACCTTATGCAGGCACTTAACCTCCCGGTGTAAATGCCGACACCTGTAAAATATGGGGTCAGCGGATGATTTATTAGGGCTCTGCCAGCCCTAGCATTGTATAATTCAACGGCTGCCTCAGAAGATAGCCAATAAATGAACGCTGGGCTAGCAGGCCAGCAGGCTGCTGCTTCTTGCTTGCAGCCCCGAGACCCTATTAGCTGTGATCCATGATGAAATGAATGGCTGCCAGGGCTGGACAACTGCTGTGGACTGAGAGAACCCAAATAAAATGGAGGACGTCCTGACAAGGTTGAAGGGGGGCACGTTACCCAGCTGAAGTTGCTCTTGATTGCAGGTGCACAAGGATCCCACCTCCCATCTCTCTTCATCACTAAGTAGCGTTAGTGCAGACCGAGAAAGGGAGTGGCTAGGAGACTGGACAGACTGGGCTGTGGCTTTGAAAAAGGAAAAGCTTGTCCAGAG